ACCTTCATGTTCGATGGCACTAGACATATGACAGCATGCTACCGATATGTCATTAAGCCTGCTTGTGAGGATTCAGTTCACAGTACACGTGTTGCCCATTGCGCCAACTTGATTGGAGAGACCAATGGCAAATTCTCTCCGGACATCAACAAACTGGTTGCAAAAAGGAAAGTACTTTTCGTCTTTCGCGAAGAAAGAGGCATGTCTACGTGGAGTATCTAACGCAGGAGGTGGGGTGGATAACCCAACTGGCCCACCTGTAACGGTTATCACTCACTGGAACTCTTGGCTGGAAACTGTCGTACATTACAACAAGTATTTCCATCATTAACCAACCATTTTTCAAACTGTACAACACAAGTTTTCAGAATCAGCTGGTGTTTGTGGACTGGTGGATACTCTAACCAAAGAAACAACACATAAAGCATTGAGATGACAACTATGTTGTTTTACGGCTGTTGGGAAGAACATCCTCCTTCACCTAAAAACTGCTGAATCACAGTCTCCGGTAATCCATAAGATTTACAACGACCTCTCCGATCTATCCGGGTATCTGAAAATTAACGCTGAAGAAAAGTGGCTGCAACACTTGCAGACAGAGCGACTCACCTTGGATGCGTTCTTCAAAACCCAAATTGACATCCAAATCTGCTTATCCCAAGCTGTCATAAAAGCCCAGGAGTTGCTGACATCACAGGCTAGCTTTCCTTTCTTTTAAACCCATTAGAGTGCTCGACCACAACCAGCTCAGCACCTTTCCCTGTGATCCATGCAATTAGGTCGATGTTCCAAGCCTGGTTAGCTCCCCAGCCCTGGCAGCTGAGTGGTTGACCTACCGAAAAGTGGTAGAAGAACTTCAAGGAGAAAAGGTGAAGACCTGTTGCGGGATGCACGAGAGAACTCCCCAACTGGTGGACATCGCTGGCAGTTATCTATGCATTCTCGTGAATTCGATAGACGCTTAACGGCGCTTTAGTGCCCACAACAGTGCCATCTCTGACAACCATCCCAAACTTTCATACAGTAGCACGAAGCACGTTATTGGGCTTTATTTTAATTCATCCGCCTTGAATCATGACTGACATGTATATAGTGGATGAAGGTGTCATGATTTGTGTTTATTTTCCTTTTCGCGGTAAAATTGCGGACTTTCATGTTTGCATCGCAGAAATTCCACGCAATTGTCGATTGTTATCACGGAAAACATGTTTCCCCATCGCGGAAAATTCGGGTCTTTAGCTTTGGGGTTCTCGAGTTATCGTCCCAAGTGGCATCGTCAAAAAATACACACATGGGTAACCAAGGAAATTCATAGATGAAGGCGCTAACATGCAACTAAAACAGGTGGCGCGGAGTCGATCAGGAGACAGAACGAACCATACAATTGTGCGTCAGCTGCCAAGAGAATAAATCATCCCAACGTTTCCATGACAATATCCGTTCGCCCATGGGACATAGTATATTACGTATGAGTAGGAGGACTTTGAGGAAATTATACTACAACATTCAAGCAGCTCACAAGCCAAATAGGTTAAACACCCATCCAGAAATTCACCGGATGGCCATTTCGCCTTCTTGGCGCTTGGCAGGGGTGTGCAGGTTCCGGCTCCATTAGTAATCGAACCCACGACAGCAGATCGCAAAACTAACCAGCAGCTTATATCACTTGGCCACAAGGGATAGACCGCCACCAATGCATCACTACCATGCAGATTCCTATCGTTGCAGAAGACAGTGGCTGACCTCCTGAAGTCACTAATACCATAACCAAGCAGCTAGGTACGCCTAGCTATGGAGCGTGGGATGATGACATTTTGCTCAATTATTTCGCCACTCTGCTCCAAGCGATCAAGTTCCTCTTTTACCTTCTATCCCACCATATACAGTAGCGACCTAGCCTTACTGGATCGCGGTCGTGGGTTAGATGTACCCTGAGAGTATATGTTGTCTGCCCACATTATCCTCGCAACGCCGGAATCACACATACGCAAAGGCGTTTTGTTGCATCAATGTTCAACGTAATTGAATAGGACGGATGCGCAAATGTTACGGGTCATGGAGGATAAGGCGATTAGGATATATACGACTAGTCCCCGGACCTAAACAGTCTTATAGGAATATACCAGCCAGTAGCGATAGTCCCAAGGTGCTTGGTTTAGTGAAAGAGCTTGCCAAATGGATCGAAGCTCTGGCAACCGCATCCATAAATGAGTCGACCACCGTGTGCATCATAAGGAACATCTTCACTAAGCATGGTGTACCATGTACAGTCGTCTGTGTTAGCTTGGCGGTCAGAAGTCACAACTTCGGACAATTATTGTGCCAAAATGTATTCGGGCTCTTACTCCCGACACCATACCAACCCTCGTACCATGATCTGGCCGATAGAGCGGTTGCGACAATCAAACATGATGTATTGAAATAACAGTTCGGAACTTTAAAAATTCACCTGGACAAATTTATACCACAGTACCGCATTACACCATGCACTACGATGGATCATCCATCATGCGAACTTCAGCTTGGCCGACATATGCGCCATCGGTTGGATCTGATTATACCCAATCTGCATCGAAAGTCGTTAAACGTCAGCTCTCGATAAAGGGACGTCATGACAACTAAACAAAGCAGATGATAGAGTACGTGTTAGACGGAAGCCAAGGGCTAAAACTATGACCAAAGAAGTTGAGAGATCAGAAAGCAGCAGCGTAGTGGAGACAGACCTCAAATGAATAATTCGACGTCATTTGGACCAAGTGCGATGCCTGAATATGAATGCAGCAGACTAATACGAAAACTGTCCATCACTTGCAAACTGGAGATAGTGCCAAGGGAAAAGGACGCCTCGACACCACCTAAAAAGCCGCGGTGTTCAGTTCGTGAGTAGCGTAGCGTAGAACGCTGTCAAGCTGGATACTCTAAATCTAGCGGTGGAGAACTCTTGTAATTATTTATTACGAACCACCGTCTGTCGGGTGACGCAACATCTAAACTACCGGAGGTTATTGGTGAAATGAATGGTAGCATATTTACTATGTTATGCTTGTTCAAGCTTATGTGCAACTACAAAACACCACTGGACGACTACCCCCATCTTGGTCCAGAATGCAAACCCCACTTTATCACCCGCTTATTATCAGTATGAATACATTGCCATTTGACCTGAGTTTCCTCGGATGTAAATACGAGGATCTGTCTTCCTACGTTGTCGAGCCTCAGTAATTAGGCAACCTTCGAAACTCTAACGAGCATTAGAAAAGTTCCCGGTACCTACCCCTTAACCCCTCCAAGTGCTGTGATATCGCACTCGCTTTCCTTAGTCCCGGCAGACTGCTTTCGCTGTTAACTATATTTCTTCCTTGTTCATGAGTGCCCAAAGCATCGCACATTTCACTGCAGTAAATGTGCTCGAGGTTTCCTTGGTTTGTAATTTATCGTGGTCGACAAATATCCTTGAGCTTATCACATAGTCAGAAGACTATCTTTTACATTTTCCCGTTCAAAAGGCTTCATATCCAATGCCTTAATTCTAAATTTAGTAAATACATGTGTTCTAATACTTTGATTACACTGTTCCCTAGTTAATTCCTCAGAATATTGCAAAAGCATTGTGCTCTTCATGTGCTCTGAATAAAGGTTATTACCAAGTGGTCTGGATTAGTAAAGGAATCCCTTGTTGGTGTTATTTTTAGAAGTATTTTGACAAACGTTACAAATTGCTATGTACACAACCACTCTCACCCTCTACGTTCACTTGGAGTCACTACAGCATCCATTTTATCCGCATGGTCGAAATTTAAATTTGATGTTTTCATACCTTGTCGTGTTGTTGCCCGCTTGAACTATCTGTCCCGCTGGTTATTTGACCCCTAAGCAAGTTTGCATTAATTGCTAGACAGTTTCCTTTTTTCAAATAGCACTCATTTTGTTTTCCTTTTACCTGACTCCTCCCAACTGATACAAGATTGTAGTATATCCGCAGTATTAGTGTAAACTACCGAAGATGTCCCAACGCGACTTGAGTAAGAATAAGATGGCAGTGTTCTCGCTGAAAGCTCGAAGCATTCGCAGCAAATCCAACCGGAAAACCACCACTTCAATTCTGCAACATTGTTGTGTGATCATGCTCCAAGGCGGAAGCTGCGACACCCAAAACACCGAGAACAACTAGTTTGCGAGTAGCTTGCTTTTAGTGACCGATAACTCCTATCCAGTTGTTTGTGTCAAGGTGTACGAAGTATGTAAATCCGATTCGTATAATGTAGCGGCTCCATGTAGTCTTTCCGCTATGGAACTACTCAGACTTGGACTGTCTTGAAGAGTGCGCACCCTACTCAGCTTCTCCAGGAAGGAGTTGAAGACTTCAGAAACTAATTCTCGAGTTAACGGTCTCGAGCCAGTAGAAAATTCCGTAACAAGTACGCGTGCACCGTGCATCAAACGGATAGCGCAGAGATAAGTGTTGCGTGAATGACCGAAACTGGTCTGACTGCATCGAGCAGATAACCAACGTGTAGCATCCCGCACCATACAAACCATCCAACTCTAATACTAAGCAAGGTCAACCTTTCATCCTCTGAAGCAACATTGTCGTTGTGTGAGCAATTTTGCCACAGTCTCACCGACACGCAAGTTTGTATGGTATGCAGATAAATGTGTGGAAATTCCTCGCCCCCATCATTTACCTGTAAAGAGTCGCTATGGCCGTAGAGACTTGTGTAACGAGTGGGTTGACTGGAACTCTCTCATTCGCGATTAACTTGGTCCATTCTTCAGAGCAACAGCAGAGGAAAATAGTCAACGCCCTACCACTCGTTTCGACTCCCCCTTCCCCTACCCACCGTTAGACCAATGGGAAATGGGAGCGCGTTTTCACTATACTTTTCAACATAAGCGCATCCGATTGGTCCAAAGTAGAACCAGTGACCTCGCACCTACATCAAATGGTCTTGGCTGTTGCGGCGGGGGAAAACACTTGTTCGTGATTGCTCCGGCTTCGGATGTGTGCCATGTCATACCCGACTTTCCTCAAATCCCTACCGTACACAGGCGCCGCAATGCCCAGTTATCACTCTGCGTACACTGGTAAAACAACCACTGAGGGAGTAGCCGCGAGCCGGCTTCCGCAGTCGCTTCCACCGGACCACCCAGATGTGCACAGATGTGGCACACAATACGGGTCAGTATATGACCCAGTCCGTACTTCAACAATGCCGCTGATATCACAAGGACCATCGTTGAAAGTCGGCACGCATCAAACAGCTTCCCATTCGTTCTGGTACATGCCGCCGGGCTTCGAGGACGTTACACATGGAACATACACTGGCGGATATTTATGTCAGCCAACGTGCAACAACAATAGCTGGTCTTTATACACGCCGTCAGCTTCAGCGGGGAACGAAACCCAGTCGGGGTTGTCCCACGATTCTCGAATAGACGTGACAGGGGATCCGAAACCAAATTTCAGCTACATTGGTAAGTGCTAATTTGTTTGAATCGTGAAGACGTATTTGAGTGCGCCCGGGTTCACTTTATGTTGCTGAACGTTGTGCAATGTGTAGAGGGGTACGCGCACTCTGAATGACTGAGCGGTGGGGTAATGGAACCGACTCAGTTAGGCGAACCCAGCGGTCTACACCGAACGAAAAGTGCCAGGGTCACCGGATACTGATCCGAGCCCCTCACCTTTCTAGCATTGCAGCTGCGCTTGATTTAATACACCGGAAATGTCAACAAACTGAAGGGTACCTTAGTTCGGCCAAATAATGGCTGAGGTAAGGCGGCCTATCTGAGGGATTCCGACAAGGACAAAGTACCTTTGCGTTTGATCTTAATGAGTCGCGGAAAAAGACAAGTGATTGCGAAATGAAACGGTGCGAGCTTGGTATGTCAAACTAAGTACATTTCCAGAGTCTCATGGGTCACACAGGTTGTTATGAGGATGACACATTACAACTAATGGATATATATATGTATATATAGCTCTTCATGTAATTAGTCCGTATGGTGTGAAGCAAGGTAGGAAGTGGCCATTTATACAATTACCTTAAAATACCATCAGTATCTCAGTGTACCGTCAGGGAAAGTGTTTATGTACTGATCAAATCCATGGGGTGAAGACAGGTATACCTTGCCGTACGGGGAATGATTAGACGGATTGAAAGTCATTCGTTATTAAGAGCTTTGGCTGCATTGTAACAGAGAAAATAAAGACACTTGGAATCACTGGCAAACTATATATGTAAATCAATAGCCCAATACTTCCGGGATTTTGCTAAAATAGGAGTACCATGAAAATGCCAACAAACCCTCCGTTTTCCATATTGAAGTGGAAGTGCACTCGAGTTGTTTTTGCGTTCAGCTTATCTGCCCGTCGTATTGGACACGACTGCGTTGGGTAGATCCACTCTGTATAAGCTGTTTGAGCGGGCATATCGACGTCCCTCTCTGGTTTTGTGTAAAATACTCTGATATTAGTTATGTACCCAGATTTAGGAAAGAGCGACCAACGAGATGGCCTAACTAATATCGAACATTGACGAGGAGCACTATGTATACGCATGAATATATTTGCGGAGAACTTTGAGGTTACTGATTAAGCCCACCTCTAACAAGGACTTTGAAAGCAACCGTAGGCTTTGACATGTATGACTTAGCATGTTGGTTCTTTCATGGGACATGTGGAGCGGAAGGTACTGAAAAGCATGGTGACCCCTGTCTTGAAAGTCACAGCAATGGATCTAATACTTTCTTGCTACTTCAAAGGGGTTTCAGAAGGACCCGATCTCTGCTTTTGTGTGTTACGGTTCGCTGGTATTATTGGACTCCGAGAGAGTACAATCATATCCTGAACCTGCAGTAAACTTCTGTTCGAAAGGTCAACATATCACAACCAAGTTTCGCGATTGTCCGAAACGAAACAGTGGAGTTTGATCTCACACATAGTAAGTGGGACCTAACTAGCCATTAGTTGTGTAGGCACCTACAAGCCGTCTCACTTAGTATTGTAATCTTTTTGCATAGTGTGCAGTGGTGAGTGTTGTTCACTGGTAACCTGGTAGGTGATCAATAAGATGACATAGTCAATCTATTAGTGAGTTCGGCACCATGTCATCTTCCTGTGAGCTTCCCGGATAAACCAGTGGCTGTATTGGAACCAGACAAAAGGGTGTTGCGTCGATCTCCTTGGTAGGAATTTATTCAGGCTATTACGAAGTCCAGGAGAGAGAGGGAGCGGTTACTAACATACCTGTCCAAACACACAACATTAACAGGGTTATCCCATGTGGTCTATTTTAATATGTGCGTTACGTTTGCCCTGCGTCCCACAATGAGCTGGCGTCCCCGATGGAAAAGCGCCCAGAAAGTCCAATTTTAGGACTGAAAAACCTCTCCTTGCCTCTCAGTCGGTGATAACGTCCGACCCTGCATACTTTCCTCGGGATAGCTTTCGAATGTCTGGCAACGGAGGTAGTTCCTTTGGGTGATCTACTTCTACTGTAGGCTTTCCACTGGTGCACAAGAACTGAAATTACTCTAACCTCAAAGTTAGATTCAGTTCATCATTCACAGGAGACGTTTGTACACTAGAGATGATGTTAGATTTATAGAGTAGTTAAATGGTGCTGGGTTTGTTTTTCATGAAAGCCCCTGACCGGATTTGCGTACTATGCTGTTGTTGGTACCGAGAGCAAGTAATTGGGCTCCAGCCGGCAATTGATAGAACTAGATGTTTGATTTATCTGGTGACGGAGTGTAGATAATGGTAGACCGATGGACAGTGTCCGCACAGCGCTGTGCATTAAAAGCCTGCTTTGCACAGGAAAATATACAAGCAATTTTTAAGATTTTTCTCTACAGGTAGAGAAAGCCGCAACTGTGAATTGATCAATTGCCAGTTGTCTCCTTGATCACCGAACTACTGAACTCCGGAAACACAATTGCACAGGCGTTACAAATTCACTGGTGAGTTTTGAAGTGTCCACCATTCGTCTGAAATCCGTGTGGACTTCCATTCGCTTTGTATTATATCGGCCATTTTGAACGTTGTGACCACATCCGAGGTAGTGTCACATTTAACGTGGTGCGGACACAACGCAGTACGCCACCACTGATAACTCAGTGACAGCAATCTGCTGAGACCGACTCCAACCAGTGATTACAATTCGTCCACGTTGCCCCTTAAACACCAACAACGACCGTTCCTTACAACTAAATTGAACGATAGAACCTGTCCCTTCTTGGAACAACCTGATGTCCAACGACAGGGGTGCTCACGAACTGTTTCGTTGTGGACCAAATGCCGCGGTGAAATTCGAACAGCACGATACAACCCTAAAACAACCAGGTGACGAGCCCCGAGTGTTCATTTAGGTGCTCGATTATCCTCTCCTCTTCTCTGACCATGTCGTTTCTTGCTTGGACGCTGCTTGCCATGGTGTGGTGAACGAAACGCGCACTTTACGCGACATTTTTTGCAGATTACTGACCTACCACTTGAGGTGCCCAAATAGGCGAGGTATGACACTTCACCGATTGTTCGTTTGTCATACACAAACCCCACCTCAAGATTCTTATAATTGCCAATTACCTTATTCCGCTGCTTGCAATTGGAAGCCAGGCCCTCTCCCATTAGGTGTGCGGTTGTGTGACTCACGAACTCAAACACCACACCTCACATCACCTGAGATCACAGTATAATATGGTATAATCATAGCTTATCGGAGCCAACTGTAAGGAGAACACAAATTACAGGTCAGTTTATGCCAGACTGACAATTTGCCGACATTTTCTTTCGGCCCAAGTTCAAGAGGTGGGTGATACAATAACGTTAATTGCGACGAAGTGTGACATCACGCGAAAATTATCCGGTTCCCCATTTTCCATTGAAAATATATGTGAAACCATTTTTCACGCAGCAGGTCCACTCCTGACACGTGTCGGTACGGAACATGTGGCACTTGAAATGCAAACGATTTGCACCGATTCCGAACGACCACTTAGTGTGCACGTGCCCCACTTGAGCGAACTATTCTCATTGCTGCTCACCTGCAGGGACCCGAGTGCGACCTATGGAGCATCTAGTGTAGAGTTGCCTTTCGAGAGACTGATCGAGCAATTATCATAACGTGGCCAGCAAGAGGGCTTCATGCCGATACCTCAAACCTGTGTACACATGCTTTCGTCACACATTACTTGTTGTGGTAAATTTGCGGGCATCCAAGACGGGTTGACGCACTGCAGAGTAGCAATCTAGCAACCCACGGGTTACTGACGGGTACCGACAGTTGAATATGCTCATTTTTCTATCTTTGAAGAAAGCCGGATCGTGATACAATGACAAATGATTTATGATGGGCGAAAAAGCTAGTACCAGACAGGTCTCCTAGGACGACCGGAGTGAGAAGTATAAAACCAATGGGAAATGTTAGTAAAAAGAAATTTGGATTTTAGGTGACTCACGAAACAATGCATGGGAATAAAAATACAGGTGTCCTCCCCGCTGCTTTACGGATAGAACTGGTGAACACACCATTTGATTCGCGTTATTTCGCCTTCACATTGGAACGGATTATATCAAATAATGCAACTGGGATAGTGTGTTGTCAAGGGTTTAATGTAGGGGTAAAATGACTTGAGTTGGAACAGCGCTTCATGTTCGGAGCTTTAGAAGAATGGAGAAATTTTGTCGGCAATCAAGTTGAGTTTGTTGCATAGCCAGTTTGAGCTGGTGGACTTTTAGTTTATCAGTGTGGCTGAGTTAGAACAGGCTGCGATAGACATGATTTAGGCTCTCCACTATTGGGTACTCCATGAGGAGTTTCCCTTTCAGATACAAACACTCACCGCTGTACGGGCCAAAAGCTTGTAGCCTGATTTGGTATGGAAGGCGTAGCAAGCCCCTAACGAATTTGGTCACACTGTTGTTAAGCTTCAAGCTTAAAACAACAGGTTTGTGTCAGGTTCACCAGATTTGGATAGCATATTTCACATGAGGCCTTACGTGAGCGTTCAGCCTTTGCATAAACATAATTGGATGGAACCCCGGAAGGCATCCTTATGAGGCTAAAGATTTGACTGGCTATTCTCGACGCTGTTTCTAGCAGCCTAGGTAATCATGCACTGGGCCGGTGGCCGAGTGGTCTACACGTTTGCTTTGCAACCATAAGGTCACCGGTTCGAATCCTCGTAGGGGTGGGCGTCCTCGCGGTATACTCAGCCCGCGCGCGACTGGTGGTGGTTGCGCGGCAGCGAAGCGCCGTTACGGCGTACAGCTGACACATTATTATTTTATTATTATTATTATGTAATCATGCAATTATCACAAGATCGGTATCCTGGAACGCACACTGAAATCAAGAAGGTAGCCTTCTGGAAAATGGTGGTGACAAACCGGCTGGTGCCAACTACATCTGATGATTCCTGTGGGCTCGTCCTCCATGATGGAAGGAACTAGGTAATTCTAGAGCCTTAGT